ACCAATAATTAATTGTAGATTAAGGCATATATCATAATGTACAATTATAGAATATAAATATCAAATTAAAAGTTGATGTTTATCTTGGGTAATTGATGTTTATCTTGGGTAATTGATGTTTATCTTTTTAAATAATTTAAAATTTATTCCATTCAAGTATTTTAAAATTTTTCAAAAAGGATTATCTAAAGAGAGTATTTAATAAGTAATTGATTATATTTAGGTACATCATAAGTAAATAAAAATAAAAAAAAATAATATAATAAATAAGTTAATCAAATGCAAATCAAAATTAAAAAGGAGTCGTACTTATAACTTACTTAATAAAACTAACTGCACAATTTTCAATCGGAAGCTAAATTTTTTAACAAAAATATGTACACCAAGCATATTTAAAAATTTTAATTGATAAAATTTGTTTAACTGAATTCTTATTTCTTACTTGTATAAAATTTGAAAAATTTCTTATACTGTAATGAACTTCTTATAAGTGTATTCTTTTTTTATCAATCTTTTTTTATCAATCATTTACTTAGTCACTGTCCCATTGAAAATTATCTCTATTAAAAAATTACATTAATTTAAGTTATATTAATTGAATTCTGTCACTAAAGTTATATTAACTCATCTTTATGAGCGACAATGTTAACTCAGTTCCTTACTGCAGCAATGTTATGTAATTTCAAACCGACGAACGTTAAAAATCTTTAGTAAACAAGTTAATTTAATTTCTTAAAATTGACTGTAGCAATTCTTTTTCTTCAAATTATGTAATAATTTCTCAATAATTCAATTTAAAAAAACATTTCAAATTTTTATAGTTACGTTTGTGAGAAATTTTTTTTTTTTAATAATCTAGCTCTCCAAAAAAATCAGACTCATTTCCAGACCGAATTAAACAGTTAAAAAAATTTTTTTTTCGAAATATGCTTTTTTATTTTTTGTTTAAACGCATTTCCTATTTTCAAATTCAGTTCCTTATGTAAGACTCTTTTTTTAAATAAAACATTTAAACACTTCATGAATAAATTCATTAAGCATTTATGTTTGCAATGGCTGGAACAATTATGAACAAAATCAATACTAATAATTTTTGTAAAGATGTAATAGAAATACGATATTCAATAACTAATTATAAATTTGTTTTGTTTCAATATTTTCACAAATCAAACTTTTTTTATTAAAAAAAATTTTGAAGGAAAAGCTATATAGTATATAATACCGGTAAATTCAATTATTGAGAAAGACTAGTAATCGTAAAATGGGAATACATTAAAAATTTGTAAAAGTTTTCAAACGGAAAATAAATGCCTGCATTATCCGTTACGAAATCGTTTTTCCAAAAGGGAAGCTCCAAGTGACGGGATGCCTGATTTCATTTGCCTTAACGAAAAGCGACAATTTTCCGGGACGCCAGATACATTTTCCCGATACCGCACACTGCATATAATTCCGATTTCGAATGTTGATTTCTCATCAAAAGATGGCGGATTTGCGGTTTTACAAATATTTTAAACAAGTTTTAGAACTCTATTAACTATATATTATGAATTAGCTACCCTTAAACTCTTAACATACTTACAACAAATATGTATTTTTTCTTAATTAAATAATTCCTAGAAATTCTAAGAACGTTTTAAAAAACTTGTATGTATGATTATTTAATGCGTTGATTTATATTTAAAGCTTTCAAAATTCATGGATTTTATAATTCATGAAATTGTTAACATCGTTACAGCGATAAAAATCGCGGAGGCAAGGAAAATAAACATTTAAAAGTTTTTTTTTTTTCAGCTAATAATACATTATAAAAAAACAGTCGCATTATTTTAGATATCTTCTTATTCAAATTAAAAATAGCTGTATACTCTAAATATTACACATGTTCTTTTCCTAAAAATGTGAAGGTAAAAAAATTACACAGAAAACATTATTATTTCATCAAAAAGTAACTAAAATGAAAAAGTAGTATTATCTACCTTTTTTTTAAAAACAAAACCAAGCGTTAAAATTTTTCTTCAGTATTAAAATTTCATAAAAAAATTTCGATAATACTTTCTATTATGGTTTAATTTAGAATTTGTGAAGGAAAAAGTTTCGCAAAAGTAGCATTTTATATCTTTAATGCATCTATTGTTGGTAGATACAGGTTGCTAAATCTTTATAGTCGAAAGAAAAGTTTATTAATATACCAAGATGCAGAACTAACTTAATTCGATACGTATGAATTAAAATAAAATATAATGGTATAATACTATATTATTTTATATATAATCTATACACGTCTTGCTAAATTTTTAAGACCTTTGAAAAATTCCCATGCTGTAAATTTTTAGCATTAAATAGAAATAATGTTGTTAATCACATTTTTTTTAATATACCTAATAAGAGTATTATATTGTTGTTATGTATAATATATTACTGATATATAATTTATTACGATGGAGCAACATTTGTAGTTTTAAGATTTTCTGTATACAGCTCATGTATCTCATGCCGCATGTAACGCATTGAAATTTATAAGAAAAAATTTAACACACTACACAACTAATACCAAAAGGTAAACATATGTTTACATTTAACACTTTAATTTTAAAAAATTGGGATAGTAAGATTTAAATACTGAAGTCGAGCAAATTTAATTACTAAGTATAAAAAAAATTAACTAAACATTAAGCTTAATTTTCCAATGCTTCAATAATACATGCGAAATTTTAACGATTTCAGGATTAGCATGCAACATAGGATGGAAATGAAAGCTGTTTCTTTGTAATATTGAAAGCACATTAAATTTTTATTTATTTATTTATTTTACTAAATCAACACAATAGCTAACAAACGCTTGAATTAGATTGCAGTAATGTTTTTATTTCTAAAACTATCAGTCGCTCCCTTTATTATTTACTAAACATATTTTAAATCGAATCCTTTCAAAGCAATACCTGATTTATGATAATCAAATTATATAGTGCAAATACTTTTGTTTACCAACAATACTTTCGATTGTTGCGGGAATGATTTTAAACAACGCCCTTTCCGTATTTATTGTGCAACACATTTGTAATGTAAAATACCTTATAAAAACTAAAAAAGATTTTTGTAACCTATTATTTATCATCTATAAATCAAATCTTCATAAAATAAATTCATTTCTGATACTATGTATAAAACGTGTAGTTTGCAGATTAATATTTCAAATATATTAAGCTTTACTAAATTTAAGAAAAAAAGAAAACATAATATTTCTTGTTAATCACTTGTTTAAAACGATTAAATATATTTTATAATGGCATGCTTTGTGAAAGCTTGAATATATTAAAATTGCAACAAAAATATTTCATAGTTTCGAATATTTAAAATAATTTCTGTTTTAGCTGTAACTATAACCATTGTTAGTAAATAATGATTTTAAATGTGTAAACAAAGCACGTTTCATCTGATGCTTTTGAAGATTACACGATTTTATCTGACTTTCTAAAAAACAATCCAAAGACTGATGCAATCTAACATTGTTTAATTTACTAATGTAATATCTAATGTTAACATTATAATGATAGTGAAGTATCTAAATCAAATCATAAAGAAACAGATTAAGTATTCTAAGATCCAAAAATGGATTAAAAGTGTAATTGGAGTCATGAATATAACTTAAATGAAGAATTAATATAAATATTATAAAAAAAACGAAACAGAAAGAGATAATTTACCTATTTTTCTGTAACTATGGATTTCGAAAATAATCACAAGTTAATTTTATTTACATATTTATAATAAAAAGTAATCAATGCAAATAACTTGCATATATTTTTAGGTAAAATAATATTATATCGGTTTTTCAAACACATACAATAAAACTGACTCAAGCGCTTTTAATAACGGAGAAACGAGAGAAAGTTTATCATTAATTGATTAAATTATCAAATTATAAAATTTTCATATTATTAAAAGGTATTTATAAAACTTAAAACGAAAGATGTAACTACAATTTTTGAGTGGTACTTCAGATCTACTTTAATACGTAATCAATATTTTTTAATTGTAAACAAACTGTTTTCAACAATTGCAATTAACACAACTTTAAATAAAATACTGTTAAGTTTTGTTAGCCTATTCAATGAAACTCAAAACTTTTTTGAGAATATCTACAAATGTAGTAAATTTGTCGCAGTGGAGAAATTAAGGCATAATTGTACCAACATCTCAATTTAATTACCTTTTATTTTTATTTTATTTGAATATAAGCAAAGTTATTTTTTCCACCGCCAAATATTTAAAACGCCATGTTTATCGAAACTCTCGTTAGCAAATATTATTTTTTTCAACTGTTATATAAATTCAACTTTATTTACAAGATCTACAAAAAAAAAATTTCACGGGGCAGGTAACGCATTTAATAACTGATTTTAAACAACAGAAAGAAAAAAAAATTTAATAGAAATCTAAGTTGTGAGTAGCATAGGTGATAGTAGCTAAATAGTTTAAAAATACCAAAATTATTGCCAAATAAGTTACGTTCGACGCAACTTTAAAAAGTTTTTTCACTAAACATTGAAGTAGACGAAACGGAATTGATTGAACTGAACCTAAACGAAACGAAAAATGCTAAAAATAAATAAATAAATAAATAAAAAATAGAACAGAACTAACTATAAGTATAATAGATATATAAATGTAAGTATATAAATGTAATTATATCAAACTTCATTTGCACAAATAAAGATCTAACATCAATTTTATTTGTAAGATCTAATGCAAAAACTTTTGTAGTGGGAGGAATGTTTTATATTTGGGCTAATTCAACAAAGAAAACAAAAAATAAACTCAATCGGAACTCTAAGTTCTTGATAGTATTAATGCTGGTACTTAAGTTTAAAATTATAATTAAATAACATAACTAATAAGCAGGACTAGAGAGTTTCTGTTCTAAAAATTATGGTAGGTTATTCGCAAAAGACTAAAAAAGAAGTAAAGAAATAGAAATAAGTATATTAGAGATTTACCTCGCTGTCGTGCAGTCTTTATAAAGTGTGTCAAAGTCTTTACAAGAGAGTAATTTGCATCTGTTGACACCTGGTTGAATGGCACCCAGACCCCTCAAAATGCGCACCTGTTCCACATTGCAGACGATAGGGGTAATGTCCAGTCGCTTCAGCTTGGTGTAGACGGTGTGCAGACCCCCCACTAAATGCTTTAGGAACAGTTCGAATGCTTGAGGTAAACAGAGAAGGTAGTCCCCATTGACTAAAAAGGCAGCCACTTTAGCGCCCCGGTAGTCTATAAGTCTACAATCATTTGCGGTAGCGTCCGTCGTGATACCGGGGGGTGAAATGGGGTGCATGGGACGCTCAAGCCGGGGCGGAGCGCCTAGGTAGCCATGGTGGTGCACTCCACCGTTCCTCATGGCCAACATTCCCATGTGGGCCGGCATGTGTTCCAATTGAGGTTGCTTTACCACAAGAGCATTCATAGCACCTGCGGTCGACATGGGTGGTGTGTAGGGCTTGGACACCATCTGAGGTGGAGATGCTGAAGAAGTCCTTTGTTGATAACTGGGGCTTGAAACCCCCATACCGTGCATGCTGACCACGGGATTGTTGATGGTCTTGGGACTCAAGCTGACCATCGGCGGCCCGCACATGAGTCCGCCCCCGTTGGAGACCGATGTGATGCAATCGCTGACCATCACGCTAGAATCAGGGTTGGGGGAGTTTTGAGGGGAGGAAGGGGAGGGCATGTCCGCCGAAGGTGAGGTGCTTCCTTCGCCACTGCTACCCTCCATGGAGCCAAGAAAAACAATACACTCTTGTCCGCTACCTCTTTCCGAATTCGAAAAGGGCCGCTTTGCCACCACGAGGGGGGAGATATGTGCGGCGGCAAGAACGCAGAGTAAGTCGCAGATCCGACTGGTTCGAACGAAGAGCGAGCGATTATGTTCTAAGCCACTGCCCCTACTTTCTGCTCCGGCTTCGCAGTTTGCTCCCGCCCAATGCGATTGCACCGCACCACAGACGTCACGCGCCAATACAAAGCGTATATGCCGAATCGCTTCTCTCTTTCTGCCCCCCTGCCATTATTTCTTTACCCCCTCCCCTCAGTTAATCCCTGCTTTTTCATTTATTTGTTTTCAGTTTTTTTTTAATTTTTGAGCCATGGTTTCGTGTTACATTCAGCCGGAACTTATTCTCTTTTCCTCTGCAGAGTTTCTCGCCAAGAGATGGGCATGGCTTCAATCGGACTGCCCACTTTTTCCGTTTGTTTATTTATTGTTTTTGCAGTTCCTTTGTGTTTGTTTTCATTTCTTTGTTTTTAAATTTTTATTTGAGACTTTTGGAGTGGACCTCTTACTGTTTGACTGCTGATTAACTGTTTGTTTCTGAGTCTAATTTTTCCTCCTGATGGGGAGAGATGATCTTAGCTGATGATCGGAAAAAGCCGGTTTTTCGGTTTCGGGTTTCCTTTCGTCTACCGCTCTGTCCGTTTCCTTTTCATTTCGTTCGCCCTTTTATAGTTTCATCTTACTATTGGCATTATCTAATTTTGTTTAACTGTTAATGTTATTCCGTATGTTTCGAAATGATTCTATTAATTGCTTTTGTTAATTTGCATTAAAATAAATGCTTTTATATTCATTTCATTCTATTTATTAAGTATTTTATTACTCAAAAATATTCCTGAATAAATTTTTTTTTAAAAAATAGCTCCTTTTTTATTGTGTGTGTATTCGTGTTTTTCTTTATTTTGTTGGATGCAATTCACTATTTGATTATCAATTCCGTGGGTGCTTCTTAGTTTAATTCTCTACTTCTAGCCTGAACAATCTTTACTGATTATCAGTAAATTCGATTCTTAGTTTTCTTTCTGCCGACCTATTCGTCTGTCATTCCATTTAGTTTTCACTTTGATGGCTATTTATTACTAGAGGCATGAACTAGTTTTATTTTACTGTTTATTTTGGTCAGTAAAAATATGAACTCCGTTTTAAAGTGTTATTTTCATGAGTTAATTTGTACTGTTAAATATACATTTATATCAATTTTATAATTTATATTAAATATTTTATTGCTTAAACAAAAAAAGAAATGCTCTAGCAATAAATTTTTAAAACCTATTATTTTGTGGATTCAAATTTAATTTTTTTAGGATTAAATCGAATTCAAATCGCAGTTTGACTTTTAATCTACTCTATGTTTATTAGTAAAATCGCCACCTCATGGTATTTAGTATTTAAACCATTTACTTGGTAATTTTTTCATTCATATCGTAACGATTTACCAGAAATTCTGGTTTTTAAAATTATAATCCTTATTATGTACATTTTACTATTCTTTTACATTTTACAATTCCTTTTTTTTTTGTGTACAATTCTTTTAAGCACATTTAATTCGAAATAGAAAATTAAAAAGAAAATTTAGCCGAATAAATGGTTTTTAGGACATGCTCTAATGTATCATGATAAAACGACGTTTACCAAATTTTATTACAAATTGTAAAACCATATTTAAATGTAAACTTTGCCAAAAGTATAACCAAAGCGCTTCGGTAAAAATTTCTAAGCTTTTTGATATTCCCATAGCCAGGAACGCATTTAATTTTTCCATATTAAGGAAATTTTGACCATACTTTTTTCTCCATACATTTCTGTCGATTAACCAAATCTCTTTTATCTTCGTCTTTGAGATTATGGATGTTAAGTCCTAAATAAAAATACTATATCAGAAGATAATAATTGATTTGAAGATGCTTTTATTTATTTATTTATTTTTTAAGAAAATATCCCGAACTATTAAACAGGGAATTATATATACTATAAAACAGCGTTTAGTAAAATATAAGCAATGTAAATAAGTTTCTCTGTTCATTATTTCGAAACAAATTAGTAATAATAATAAAATCTGGTCATCGAACTGCATTGCTTGAAATTTATATTTCAAGCTTAGTTTAGAGAAAATAGAGTCAGTCAGTCAACTTATCGCTCAACGTTGTTTGATTGTTATTTTTTTCTTTCGTAACTTGCATTTACTTAATTTTCTTCTAATAAGTGTTTTTTTATAAGCTGAAAAATATATTGATTTTCAATAGATCAAAATATCGTCAAATGAGTTTGTCGTCAAATGATAACACCTAAATGATAATCAACACCAAATGATAACACCTAAACGTCAAATGATAACACCTAAATGATAATAAACATCAAATGATAACACCTAAATGATAATAAACATCAAACGATAACACCTAAACGTCAAATGATGACACCTAAATGATAATCAACACCAAATGATAACACCTAAACGTCAAATGATAACACCTAAACGATAATCAGCACCAAATGATTGCACCTAAACGTCAAATGATAGTACCAAAATATCGTCAAATGATAACAACTAAAATGGTTATGAAAGCTCATAAGAATTTTCAGATTACTACATTTATCATTTAATGTAAATTTTCCTATAATTAGGCCACAAAACCAACCAGATATTCTAAATTTTATTTTTTTCTTACTTACGGATTTCTTTTTATTTTAACTCTTTTACTTTTGCAGCCATCAGGTAACTTTTACAAGTGAGAAAGAAATACAATATTATGATTATAATACAACGTGAAACGTGCATCACGATCTAACAACGTTTTATTTTAAGTACTGTTGCGGGTGTTAAATGATGTTACGAGTAAACGATATCTTGAATTAGCACACGATTTCGAAAAGGATACTATATTGAACCACGAGAAATTTAAGCTTAGCAATTCGTCAACAAAATACTTAGTCTCCTGAAAATTCATATAATACAACTGGGTGGTCTAGGGAAATGGGAAATTTTAAAATTGCACAAACAAACGCAGGAAAAACACATTTTAATTACGAAAGTGCATTCATACCATATGACATTTATGTTTTCGTAACAAAATATTACAAATAGCATGAAGATATGACGTAGGAAAAAATTGCATCATAAAGATTTACACTTCAATAGATTTTCACTTAACTTGTTATTGAAATGATGTGATTGAAGTGTTGATCTTTCAGATGTCATCTTTAAAAAGTAGACAGTTTGCGACACTTTGTTAGGAAACATGAATGTCGTACTGTACACATTGTACTTGCGGCAAAAATCGCGTTTATTTGTGAAAATTGTGTTACTTCAAAATGTCCCGTTTCCCTCTTGCTCTCTGTAGATACAGAATAAGTTGCAGAAATAAAATAAAATTTTAATATTTATTAAATTCCAGTAATAATACCTGCTGTACATATCCATTGAACCGGTGGTATCCATGGTTTGGTTAAAGAACTAAGATGTTAGGGAGAAGATCGGAGTTCTATCCCTGGCGCTGACTTGAAGCTCTACCAAATTCAGATCGAGGGTACCCTCTCACTAAAAAGAAAATGCAGTCAGTGCACAATACTGACCACATCATCACAATCTGCTTTTGACTTTAAAAAGTGGATCTTAAATCTCCGTGACCCTTTGACCGACAAAATTGTCTGCTGTTTGAGTTTTTTTTTACTTTAAGCACCTATTAAACTGCTCTTTAAAAATCTGATGGCATACAGTTAATCTTTCTTTCTTTAAATCTTCAGCGCAGGGGGCTTAAAATTATTATCTACACATCGGAAAATTCAAAACTACCATCAATATAAATTATTTAATGATTTTGCAAGCAATTAAAAATTTTTAAACAAGGTCGAAACAATTTCAGGGCTCAAGGAGAGGATATTATTGGCGCTAAGTTGAACCAAATTACCATACTTAAAATAAAAATGGCTCAATGAAACACTTTAGTAAGGTTGAAACAATTTCATAATAAATTACACGGTTCAAGGAGAAGATATTATTGGTGCTAAGTTGAACCATATTACCATACTTAAAATAAAAATCGCTCAATTGAAAACTTTAATATGGTTAAAAAAAATTTTTAATATATGGTTTAAAGAGAATTCATTATATGATTTAATAGAAGATATTATTAGTGCTGAGTTAAACCAAATTACCATTCTTTACTTAAAAATAACTCCATTAAATACTTTAATAGGTTTGCCACGAAACCTTCTCTTCTGACAGTGAACTGAAGAAGCAATTTTTTTTCTATTGGTTCAAGCATATTTTTGAAACATTACAATTTTTGTTAATTCAGTCAAATTTGTACATAAAGGATAATTTACCATACAATTCTTGATTACAAGATTTTGTGGTTCGAAGTACCCAAAACTGAAATGCGGATACAGAAAACCCAAATAAAACCATTTTTGTAATGAACTTGAAAATGCAAAGCGAAACTGTAGCAGATTTCTCTCATACTCTTTCTCTCTTTTCTTAATAAAAAAAATACATCGAATATCTAGAAACAAAGAACATCAAATTACAGCTGTGTTACACTTAATTTTGTAATCGTGTTAACGTAAGTTATTTTCTAATGATGAAATACACACAAAAAATCGATTGTATAGTTATCGATAAATAACTATTTGAAAATAAATAATTAAAAAAGATTTAATATAAATCAGTTTTTGTAGAATACAATTCAATTTTATAATTGTGTTATCATATAAGAAAGTACTAAGGTTACGAAAGTACTAAGACTCTAACTGCTGAATTGCAAGCTCCACTAGCACTTTTTGCCCCTTTATTTTAGCTGGATCACCACTAGTCTAAATAACACTTTTTAAAATTTAATTTATTTAGTGCTAAGACTTCCACTAGAATGCCTTTGTATATTAACAATATTTTTTTCGTCTCATTCACGGAATGTATTAGAATAATTGTAAATTCAATTAAATTTTTAGTCAATAAAATTTACAGGTTTCCTAATTTAATTGTTTTACAACAGAAGTTAAAATTAAATTAATATCTTATAAGATTATCCTCTTCTTAATCACGGATAAAGGAGAAACTTTTTAAAATTTCTTTTATTGTTTGTTCTTTTTTAAAAGAAATAAACTGGTTTTTATAGTATAAGACCATGTGGGCTAAATGCTTCAAACAGACTTTAAATTTG